TGAAGATAAGATAGTACTGATGTAGGTTGATTATTTATAATATATTTGGAAGTAAAATTTGAGCTCGAAGATCATATAGGGCACTCTTTGATCCTGAATCAATAAATAATTAGTTACATACACATTTAGCAGTACCAATGTTATTACTAATACTTTATATATATATATATATATATATATATATATATATATCTACAGTATTGAACCTTTAATGTGAGATAAGAAAGAAATAATCAATTAAATGATGCCTTTATTTGGATGCACTGGGACTATTACAATGCTACATCACTTTGCAAACATGTACAACTTTGACTTTATTTTATACTTTAGATTATACTTTGCTTATCCTTTAGATTTTAATGTATTATTTTAAGCTAATTTATTTATTAACATTACAAAAGTACATTTTAAAGTGTGACAATTTATACTAATAAATCATTTTAAAAGTGGCAAAAGGTTATTAGAAAATTTGATGCCACTGCATCAATTTTAAAAAAAAAAAATGTTTTATTGCTACTTTTTACCTCAATCATCTTATAAATATCAATAATGTTTCTTAGAGGGGTCTAATCAATACATAAACTGAAAACAAAAAAAAAAAAAAATGACAATCATAAACAAAATATGTACAAAAATAAATGATAAGAACATTATGATAATGATTAAGACATAATAAATTTACGTTTCCAGAAAATCACAAAATTCTGGAAATCCTGATTGAAAATGAGCTGTGTATCAAGAGTTACATATCTTGACATAATCGGTTAATCAAAAAGAACATTCATTACTTGTCCTTATTCAAACACTTTCAAATATAAAGAAAAACTAAAACACTTGTGTTTAGATTAACTCTTCGTATCATTCTTAACTCTACACAATTGCATAAGAACAACCATAGAATTTGCAAGTCCATAATTTAAAAAAAAAAAACAAAAAAAAAACAAAAAACAAAAAAAAAAAAAAAAAAAACAAACAAAACAAAAAGGTTTCAACTCTTGGTATATATTGATCTCACACTGTAGCCTTCAATTGATTGTCCCTATAAACAAATAAAGTACTTAATAAAAAATACATATACAAAATACTATAAAAATAACAAAATTAGATAATTTACTTTGTATCCACGTACAATTAGAAAATCAAGTTATGAAGGCTTCCCTGCAATGATCTTATCCAATGGGAAGTATATCTCAACGACAACCTTACCAATAATGTCAAACATGTTAATAAAAAAAAATCCAGATGCAAATTAAAATTGTAAATGAAACTTACCAACGAACTGTTTATCATCTACAGACTTCACAGATGAAAATGATTTCAATAAATAAATTTGTCTAGGAAAGTTGTCATTTTTTTATTATTTAACCAAAGTAGCATAGTTGAATTACAACATAAAATAATAAGTGCATTTTTTGTAAATATAGAAATTACTTATCACCATAAAATTTTTAATGGCATAAACTTTTCATTATTTGAAAAGCTTACAGTACTTACCAACATGTTCCCTTGGTATATGAGCATGAAGTTTCCTACAATGAAGTAAAAAAGAAAAGTGTTATTTTACAATTTATTTTTGCAGTATAGGAAGCAACTTTGTAATGCATATTTTTCCCAATTTCATATACAACACGAGTTCTAGAAAAAAGCAAAATCGAAAAAAAATTGATCATGAAATATGCACTCTCTAGATTTTATGGAATCACTCCCCTTTCTCTATTTGACTTCATATAGGTGCAAATCAGTCAACATCTAATAGCTCTAAAAGTCTTCAATGGAGAAATATCCTGGGCAAGGATAAACATTGGAGTCGTAGAAAAAAGCAAAATTGAAAAAAAAATACCTCTTGATCGTGAAACATGCACTCTCTAGATTTTATGGAATCACTCTCATTTTTCTATGGAACTTCATATAGGTGCGCACCAATTACAGTCTAATAGCTCTGCAAGTCTTCAATGGAGAAATATCCTGGGCAAGTATAAACATTAGAGTTGGAAACAATTGTATGTTAGTATACATATCTATATCTCTATATATAATTACTCAACATAAATAAATGAATAAATGAATATAAGAAATAAATATTACCAATTAATAGATTTACCAATTAGGTTAATACGTGAATATGGAAACAATATTATCAATGGAAAAATGTAATTTATGCCCCTCACAAATATGTCAATTATCATGTTACCCCTGAATTATTAGTGGTGTAAATGTTGCCCCTTAATTTTCATAACGTGACATATATTGCCCCTCACCTGAATTATTAGTGATGTAAATGTGGTTACACGTCGTCTTTCTTGTTCGAAGACCGCGTTTTTTCCCTCAATTTTTGTTTCTTCGATTGTTCTGCTTCCGTTGACAATAATTTTTCTCCTTCTTCATATTAGGGAAGGGGCAATATATGTCACGTTTTAAAAATTGAGGGACAACATTTACACCACTGATAATTCACGGGTGACATTGATAATTGACATATTTGTGAGGGGTATAAATTACAATTTTCCCTATTATCAATTAATAAATTTTAATTAATTTCTATTTTACATTTGGTTACCAAATAAGTTTTACTACAAAAGTTTGGGCGGGAAAATGAAATAGGGAATTTTACTTTTATATATATATAGAAAATATATAGATTTAGTCCTCTAAATATTAATTTTTTTTCTTTTCTAACAAGCGTCAAATATATTAGTAGAATTCTACCATGTTTCTAGTATTTAATTATAAAAAGAATTTTTCGCATTTTTAGTCTCACGACTATAGTGGCACTCATGGACGGAGCTACCATGTTTCTACGCAATGGGCGTCTTAAGCTAAATTCGGATGCAACTCTGGACGTACCCAATAATTCAATGGGCTTGGGATGGGTGTTGCGAGATCATAATGGCACGTTCTTGACTGTGAAGAATATGCGGTTGACCGGCACCTACACTGTTAACGATGCCGAGGCAATCAGTTTACGAGAAGCTCTAAGTTGGATTAAGGATACTGGTATGGGCAACATCGATGTGGAAATGGACTCCCAAACTGTTTTTTATTCCCTTACCTCTCCTCCTTTTAATTCTACGTTTGGACTATTAGTTGAGGATATTAAAGAATTGGCATCTGTGATAGACGATGTTCAATTCCGTTTTGCTAGACGATCTGCGAATTGTGCCACCCACATTGTTGCTAGGGAGGTCCTTTCTGAGTCAGGTTGTGTGGAGTGGTCCTACGTTTCTTGAAAACTGTCTTTCCCATGATTTAATACTTAATTTTTTACCTTAAAAAAAAAAAAGATAATAGACAATGTAGTGAATATAATCAATTGATGAATTTGAATGTAAATAATATTTACATTGGAGAAATATAAAGACAATATAACTAATAAAATTATTTCTCTTAATTAATTTATTGATAATGAATAATTTTTTTAATAAAAACATTGTAGGGACAATGTAGCGAATATAATCAATTGATGAATTTGAATGTAAAGAATTTTTATATTGGAGAAAAATAAATATAATATAACTAATGAAATTATTTTTCTTATTTAATTTATTGATAATGAATAATTTTTTTTTTTTTGAATAAAGACATGGTAGACACATAATTCTAAATTAAAAAAATGCATATGTATTATTTTTTGTTGTGGCTACTAAATTATTATTTTAATTTAATAAGAGTAAAATAGCGTACTAATTATGCCAACTTTGATTGGGGTGCGGTTCGAACCTAAGACCTTTCTTATTGAAATCAATGACTAAGTTAGCGGTGAACTAAAATTAACAGAAAAGATAATATTTAAAGGAAAAGTTAACGGATAATCCTATTCATTAAGGATAAACTAGAAAAATCTTAATGAAAAATTAAAATCTGATCAATATGAGCCATTTATTTGATGATAGCCATTTTTTCTACACATTATAACAGGGCGTTTGTTTGGAGTAAGGAATTAGGGTGGAAAGAAATTGCAATTCGGTGGGAAAATAATAAGGCGGGAATAAAGTAGGAATTCAAATTACATTGTTTGGTAGGAATGAATAGAATTATTGGGTAGGGAATGAAAGAAGTGATATAAAGACTAAAATGTCCTTGTGTAATAATAATAGTAGTAATAATTAAGGGTTTTTTTGTCATTTCATCCCTTTTTCCTTTTCTCACAACCACCGAATTGCAATTCATAGGGGAGTGACCATGAATTGCAATTCAGCAAAATGAAGGAATTGCAATTCTCTCCAATCAAATGTCGTAATTGTGGCTTCAACTGAATTGCAATTCAACTACAATCAAATTACACTCAACCAAACAGGCCATAAATGTAACTCTCTTGGGCGATTATTAATATATAATAGAGTTAATTCCAGTAATGGTCCTCCGACTATATTGGTTATCCAAAATTAGTCATTGACTTTTAATTTGGACACTTTAGGTCCCTTGACTTTCAATTTCTTTCCAATTGAGGTCCTTTCGTCAGAATACAGTTAATTGAATTTTAAATGAAGGGATAAACTCATCATTTCACCTGCCTATGTATTATTCTTAGTATTTCTTATTCCAAAAAAGGCTGAACCCCAACCTTAAGGGCCCCCCACACCCCGGCCCGACAAAGCATTTGGGAGGATGTAAATCATGGTGACTCAACCGAACATGAACCATAGAGGCTAGAACGGTGCTCACTGCGCACAAGGAGCCCCCTCACTTTGAGAGGTTGCTCCCACACTGCCGCTGGTGAGACTCGATCCCTGGTCATTATTCTTAGTATTTCTTCATTATATATGCGGTATATATGAAGATAATCTTAGTCGAAACCCTAAAATGTTCCTCGTCGTTCCCATTTGCTGACTACTCGTGTGTGCGTTCCTCTATTATTGAGATGTTTACAAGGTATAACAGCGAAATACGAAGAATAATACATAGGCATGTGAAAGGACGAGTTTACCCCTTCATTTAAAGTCTAATGAACCGTATTCTAACGAAAGGATCTCAATTGGAAATAAATTGAAAGTCTAATCCTCATCGCCGACGCCTCCACCTCCTGCCTCGCCGGACGCCTGCTGCCGGCTGCCCTGCTCTGCTGCAATCGATAGTCGTCCTCCACCTCCAGTCTCGCCTGACGCTGTTGCCGGCTGCCCTGCTCCGCCGCTAATCCTCATCGCCGGACGCCTGCTGCAGTCGAACTCTAAGGTATCCAGCCCCACCCTTCTCCGGATATTAATAATATAATATGGATGAAAGCTGTTCCTTTTTTTTCTTTCTAGGTTTGTCCGATATGGTTGCTAGGCAGTTTACCATCTTGGTTGCGCTATCTGATTCACTACTGAAAATATTCTGGAATTGTTTCAATACAATCATAACTTCCAATTTCCATCCAAATTTTGTGTCTGTGATTGATTTTCCAGTTTCCACCAGTGAACTCATACTATGAAAGTTCTGCTTCTGTTAGTTTTACCTACGAAATTTATGATTTTGATCTTAGAAGAGACTGGAACAGGTGGCAAGTATATGATTAATTCTTCTATTTTACAACAGAGTACAGGTGACACATAATGTATTGTTTTTTTGAAAGCTCTTCATAAAGTGTACTCATGTTACAAATGGATAAGTTATCAGTACTTACATAAAGAGTATGAGGAATTGAGCATTTAAATTTACTTGATCCTGCTACAATTCAGTCTTTAAAGTACTGCTTTAAAGTTTTAGATGTCCAATGAGATTTGGCCACTTGAATAAATGGACTATATGTCTATGTCATATGAAATGCATTTGTGGATGCATTTGGCAGAATGTCTTGGATGGTTATAATGGAACACTCATGGCATACGGGCAAACTGGGACAGGGAAAACTTGCACTCTGGGACGGTTGGGAGAAGAAGATACCGCTGACCATGGGATAATGGTGAGTGCAATGGAAGATATTCTTGCTGAAATATCACTGGAGACTGAAACAGTTTCTGTATCTTACTTGCAGGTTGTTTCCCCCACAGAAAGATCAAATACTTTTAATCTATAATAAGTTTGTATTTCATAATTTAAAATGCTTTTGGAAAATGTCTTACTGTGACTAGGTGTAACTAGGAAATGTTGGGAATTGGGGTTCCTAAACCGAACCAATTCCAAACCGAATACCGAAACGTCCACCCCTAAGAAATAGATGGTCATTTGTATTGTGTAATAGTCTGTCAACATCCAAGAAGGGAGCCAACTAAGGCCAAGGTGATATTTTCCCTAGCTGAAAACAGTCTAAACTAACTAGGAGTATTATTTTCTTCGTTCTTGTGAATCAATTATTTACTAGCAAATTGCATTTACTTTTACTTGTGGCCCTTCCAATAACCCTTTTCTTTATTGTATATTTGTAAGGATCTGTAATGATGTAATTTTTATGTCAGGTTCTGCCATTTTTTTTAAAATCTATGTACTTATGTCTGAAATGTCTATAGTTACATTTTCTTATTAAATTAATATGCTTTCTAGTTTACTGGTGCTTTTTTCTTTTTTCGTTTGCCTTTTTCTTTTTCGTTTGGAACTGATTCATAAATAATTTGAAAATAGCAATTTACTTGTAGATGAAAAATTGTTTTAAAGCATTGTTTCTTTCCTATTAGGATTGGTGGTGTATATCCCCTGACTCATGCCTCACCAAGTTGGTCTTCTTGGCAAACTCCTGTCTTCACTGTTTAGAGAATGCCGACGATCAATGACCACCAGCAAGAGAGTGCAAGACCGGAGCAAGAAGAAGCGAGTGCATGACCTTGAAATTGTTGTAGAGAAGCACAAAATCCTCTCCAAAATCCTCTTCATACTTGAAACTCTGAAGCAAGAGTCCGAGCAAATCATCCCTGTACGTTCCCTTGATCAGTACCGGAGGCAAATTAACCTCCCAAAACCTCACAAGTTCTCAGTTTTCCTTCGGAAATGTCCCAAGCTTTTTGAGCTTTATAAGGACCAGAGGGGAATTTTATGGTGCGGAATGACTAAAGAAGCTGAAAATCTGCTGCATGAAGAGGAAGAACTCATAGAAAAGAATAGTGATAAGGCTGCAGAGTTTGTGACTCGGATGCTAATGATGTCAATTGGTAAGCGTATTAGTCTGGATAAGATTGTGCATTTCAGGAGGGATATAGGGTTGCCACTGGATTTTAGGAGCCATTGGGTGCACAAATATCCCGAATATTTTCGAGTTGTGAGGCCTTTTGTGCCTTATGATGAGGGTGAGTATTTGGAACTTGTGAATTGGAAGTCTAGTTGGGCAATTACTGAGTTGGAAAAGAAGGTGCTGGGTGTTAGCAAGGCCCCCGAAGATTATGTTCCAGGTTTTCTTTCTCTGTCTTTCCCAATGAAGTTCCCACCTAACTATAAGAAGCTGTCCAAGTACAGAGGTCAGATTGAGAACTTCCAGAACAGGGAGTATTTGTCCCCTTATGCAGATGCTAGTGGATTAAAGGCTGGGTCACAGGAGTTTGATAAGAGGGCAGTGGCTGTGATGCATGAATTGCTTAGTTTTATGATTGAGAAGAGGCTTGTGACAGATCATTTGACACATTTTAGGAGGGAGTTTGTGATGCCTCAGAAGCTTATGAGACTATTGCTCAAGCATTTTGGCATCTTTTATGTTTCAGAGAGAGGGAGGAGATTTAATGTGTTCCTGAACGAGCCTTATGAAGGTTCAGAGTTGGTTGAGAAACATCCTCTGGTTGTTTGGAAAGAAAAGGTTCTTAGCCTTGTTGGCTACAGAAAGAAGAAAGATAAAGAAGAGACCTTGGAGGATTTACAAGAAAGTGACACGGACTTATTTGAGATTGATTCGGAAGATTATAGTGTTCAATTAGCACATGAGAATGAGGAGGAGGAGATGAGTGGTTTGGAGAGTGATTCAATTGAAAGTGACTCTGAAATGGAGATTGAAGAGATTTACAATGCATATAAAGTATCCGAATGAAGCCGTTCTAGCTCAACTGGCCTAGGTGAGCCTCCTTTGCCTCGTTCTAGCTCAACTGGCCTAGGTGAGCCTCCTTTGCCTAAAATCTAGAGTTCAGTCTCGGTCTCAGCTCCTCTTTGCAAAATGGTTTCTAATTGTTTTCTTCTCAAGTTCTCATTTTTCCATGCCAAGTGATATTAATGTAATTTCATTGAGTGGTTGGTTTAGCATGATTTTCCATGGAATATATTTAGTATGAGATGTCAATGTATTGCAGAAATATAGATCCTTATTAGAACAATAAATGTGAAATGATAGATTGTTGTGGTGGTGGTTAGTGAGGAGGGGGAGAGGGATTGTTCTTGGTGAGGACAATGGTGTGAGAATTTATTAGAAGTTTTTAATGGAGAAGAGAGTAAGCATGTTTTTTTAATTACCCAAGTGAATTGCCCTCTTTTGCAGAGTGTTCTAGAAACCAAAAAGTTATTCACCATGTGAAGAACCGAGGGAATTTCTTACCTCTCAATAGTTATATTTCCTGGCCTTCTCATTTCAGGTATAGGCATTTTTGCGGCAAATTATACCGTGCACCAGGGTGCACATTGCATTGTGCGCCCTAAAAGTTTATGTGTATTATGTTAAGAGTTTATGTGTATTATGTATTATGTTAGATTATGTGTATTATGTTAGGAGTTTATGTGTATTCTACTATACAATTATATACATACGAAACAGGGGATTTTTATGGCACAAAATGCATTATGCGCCCTGGTGCACAATATAACAATTGCATTTTTGCAGGGATTCTTTATTGCGGTCTGCTATATCTACAGTTGGCAATCTACCTGCAGTCTTCTAATGCTTTAAAATTCTTAGGCCAGTAATTGGTAATGAATTCTACTATCAACTTGTTCATGGCACTTATGGTTTTCATGACCGTCTCTTTCCCCAGAGTTGACGCGCTGATTCTCATATCTGGGGTTGGATGCTTCTGCAGGTGATGGATCATGAAAGTTACCAGAAATTCAACACATTATGCAGTCAACTGGATTATGATTTCGGAACTATAAGTTATCATCCATCGCTCAGAAAGTGCATGTAGATGTCAACAGCCTCAGTAACACATCAAGGTTTAGGTAATCGAGTGATCATTTGTTCCTTCGTTCTTGTTTGCACTAACATATTATGATACCCAGTGAAAATTTTGACGTTTTGGACAATGAAATGCTGGTAGTTATGTAGCTAAAAGATTACCAGCTCAGACTTGTGAAATGGGCATACGAATGACTGAATGAGTGTAGTGTTTTTTTTTTTGTTTCAATATTTCTGTGTATTTTTTAGAGTTGAAAGGATACTGCCCAGAAAAATGTATTAACCAATAGTTTTTATGTTCATGTAATTTATTAGTAGTATTTACAAGGTTGATTTTATTTTCAAACTTGAAAGAAATGGCTTTAGGCATTAAGAGAATTATTTATTTTGTACAATAAATAAACTTTTGTTTATTTTAATTTGTTCATCTTTGTAAGAATACAATCATTTTTTGGGTTTGTATTTATAGAATAAGTCCTATGTGTGTTTAAATTGGTTAAAAGTATCATATTTAAGCAATAAATCTAATTAATTTAAACTAGTTATTTTGTGTTACATGTGAGTTAATTGCTTTTCTTTTTTTTGGAGCATTTTAAACGTTTCAATCTTTCTATGATATAACCTTCTTAAAGATAAATTTAATCCATCATAATTAGATATTGTAGTATTTTACCATATCATTTAAATGTATCATGTGAGAAATAATTTTATTAAAAGATTTGCTAAATATTTGATATGATGTATTATTATATTGTCATTAATTATTAATAGTATATCATATTAATATTTAAAAAAAAAAATAAAAAGTCAAACTTCAGTCTCTCACTTATATTACATCAATGTTTGATTAGACTTATATAAAAAACCTGTGATTGTTACTGTAAACTCAAAAAATAAAATTTATGAAAAATGTCAAATAAATGCTTAATTTTTTATATTTTTTTAAAAAGTCAATTAGACGCTTAAATTTTTATAAGTTGCAAATAAATCCTCAAACAAGTTATTTTAGAACATTCAATTCCACTAACTTGTTGGTGACCTGTAATTGCAGGTTAATTATGGTTCCAGCAATTCAAGATCATTTAACATGTAATCAATTAAAATTAATAGTTAATTTTATCAAACACTTCTCTACAGTAACTAATAATACATGCTAGTTAAACTAGTTAATATAATCAATTAATAATGGACTATTAACCTAATTCACTATAAGCTCATTGCCAACAAGGTCACAGTCAAATTTGAGGATAACAATTAAGTACTTTTGCCTTTAGAACATTGGTGTCATTTAAGATTTCCTTCCACGAACATTCAGAAATTTGGGTTTGGGTTTGGGTTAGACTCCTTATACACATAAGTGTATAGTTGAATCTCAAAACTAGATTGGCTCTATGTGTTTCCTCATGACTTATGGGTGCAGTAGGTACAAATTATATAATTAACTAGGATCCACCTTGTATTATGAACTATACTTCAAAACGATATGCACATTATGTACTGCAGGTACATAATGACCATGTTTCGCAAAGGGTTGTTTGGTAAGTCAGTATTTTGGAACAACATTTTATTCCAAAATACTGAAATTCAAAATACTGTTTTGAACCGTGTTTAAGATTAACGTTTTGAGAAAGAAACTTCTTTCCCTAACAGGGCGTTTGGTTGGGGGAGGGGGGGAGAGGGAGGAATTACGTGGGAAAGGAATTGTAATTCCATGAGAGATTAATTACTGGGAATAAAATGAGAAGTTAAATTTCAGTGTTTGGTTTACAGGAATAGAATTACTGGGAATTTCAATTCCAATGTTTGATATACATCCGAATTGAAAGGGAATAAGTAGTATAAAGTCCAAAATGTCCATTGTTGTTGTGGTATTAATTTTAGGTTAAAAAAAGGGAGGTGTAATTTTGTCTCATCACTAGCTTTTTTTCTTCCTCAAATCTTAGGAATTAAAATCTCTGATGAGACATGAGATTTTAATTCCATGAAAATGGAGAAATTGCAATTCATTCCAACCAAACTAAGAAATTTTATGGCCTTTGGAATTAGGTGGGAATTAAGTGAGAAGATTTAAATTCCCTCCAACTAAACACCCTGTAAAATGCACTTCTCTCCAAATCTTTCAATGTGAGAGCCAACGACTCCCCTTTGTCTTTATTTTTATTTTTGTTATTGTTATTATTATTACTATTTATTTGTCATATTTTTATTTTATTATTACATTACATAATAATAATAATAATAATAATAATATTATTATTATTATTATTATTATTATTATTATTATAATAGGTGATTTTAACTTTAAGATTTCATTTCTTAATTTCTTAGAAGCTGACATGGCAAACTGCAATCATGTCTCTGTCCTTATTGGGTAGTGATGCCGATTACATTTCTTAATTCCTTTTTTTCTCTTCCTTCCTATCTTCTCTTCCCTAATCACTCTTACATTCTCCCTCAATTCTTCCCAATTAGTGTGGATGCTCTTATTACGTGGGAGCTTCACCGTTGTTAGCCGTGGACCCGATCGCGGCCAATTATATCTCTAACTTCGATTCTTAAGCTTAAGCACACTTGACTGGAAGGCCAATTTTGCAGTGAGAGGAAACTCGAGAAATAGAGCGAAAATGAGATTCGGCTATGTGGTTTCAGTTCTTCTACTTCTCGCGGTTTTAACATTAGGTAATCAAATGCTTTTCTTTTTTCCTTTATATGAAATTGTTGCTAGTTTCCTGAGTGGATTTTGTTGGATTTGATCTTTTATGCTAATGTTTCGCTCTTTGAGCTGACAACCGAATATTTAGAAATGGAGTAATTCGTAATTCCTTTCAGTTTTGAATTTTCTGTGTTTCCAGTTGCAGCGAAGAAATCTGGTGATGTTACGGAATTACAGATCGGTGTGAAGGTAAATCTTTGGGATTTCAATTTCTGTTCATGTATATATAATTCCTTCATTTCTAATGTGAGAAGTGTCTAGTTTTTTTTTTTTTTTTTTTTTTTTTTTTTTTTTTTTGAATCGCTTAAGCCGAAGCATTGATGAGTTTATGATTTCACAAGAAATATATGATATTCATATGCAAAGAGCATTGCTGCTTGGAAATGATTAGTCTTTGATTTCATATATCTCATCTTATTAGATAGAATATTAGGTGATATTGTATGAATCCTGGATTGTGATTAGGGTGATTAGGTATGATTTATGACTTCGGATTGTGAATAATATATTGTCCACTCAGAATTTCTTATTGATTATTGAATTAAATAAGCTAAAAACACTTGATATTAGGCTCTCTATTTCTCGGAAGTTTGGCACTAATCATCTAATTAGTTACTCACTTACTGTGTATCACATATATTCTGGTCTCTTAATTGCCATTAGAGATAATCAAGAAAGAAGTATGTGCCCAAATTAGAGTTCACATTGTTTGACACAAGGTCAAGCCCCCTGCTTTCGCTGACATAACTTATCTAATTTTTCAGATATGTTTTTCAATTTCTCCCCTTAATCTCTATTGATTGATTTTTATATTTTGACTTTCTTCATGTTTAGAACCCACTCCTTATTGTTCTTCTCTTCTTTTGGCTCAACTGTTGCAGTATAAGCCAAAGACTTGTGAACTCCAGGCTCATAAAGGTGACAGAGTTAAAGTACACTACCGGGTGAGTACAACTATTACTACTAGTACTTCTATTCTGGATATTTACACATAATAAAGAAAAAAAAATCAAATTATAAAATTGAAATTTATCTGTGTGACAGACTGACAGTGAGTAAGTTTTATATATTAGCATGGTGGAACCTGCACTTAAATGAGATATTTGATTTACTCCTGCAAAAATGGTTACTCAGTTTGTATTTTGAGCTGGCGTGCTGTGTTTAGTTATACTGCCACTAATAAAGATCCGTCTTGTATCTGAGAAAATGAGCATTATTTGTATTTAGTAGCCTGCTCAGTTTTGGAGCTTACTGCTGGTCTTTGCAGGGAAAACTTACTGATGGAACTGAATTTGATGCCAGCTATGAAAGGGGTGACCCCATTGAATTTGAGCTTGGTAGTGGTCAAGTGATTAAAGGTAATATTAAATATTTTAGAGGAAAGTGAGAGACCCTTACTACTAGAGTAATTTTTTTTGAAAATCTCATTAGGACTCCCCATGCTCAAGGGTTAACAAAAAGAATACCTAATGATATCAGTCATGGAAGGTTTAAGTAATCCAAATAATCCTAGCACCATTGAAAAATGTTAATGTTGTTAAATTGGTCAATTTAATCTCAGAAGACTTTGTCAGTTCAACACTGTTAAGTTTGCTTATGTGTCACTAATGTGGTTGATTGACTAGGCTGCCATGTCATTTAGCAAACAAAATAAATAAATAAATCAATCAAGAAGCCACCTCTAAACCACCAAGGTAGAGGCGGGGCCAAAACCTTTTTCCTCCTCTACTCATCAGTTTTCTCAAACTCAGTTGCCTGCCACCCCCCACCTAGCCCCCAAAATTTTAATTTGTAAACTTAATATTAAATTATTAGAACTGATTTAATAAAATTAAATTATTCGAAATCAAGATCTTAATTCAAAAATTTAAAGTAATTGTATAAATATATATATATATATATATATATATATATATATATATATATATATAACCTAAAATTATTCAAATCTTGTCCTCAATTAAACCTACTTATGATTGACGAAATAGATATCTTATACAATAATTCAATTTGTACTTTTTATATAATTTCAAATATAAAATAAAAGCATAAAAATATTTATTAAAAAGTTTTGTTTTGTTTTGTTTTTTTTTTTATTAAAAAGTTTTGTTAACTAAACTCAATTCATATATAAATAAATTAGAAACAATTAAATTTGATTCATTTATCAATGAATTAATTAATTAGATCTTACTTTTTAAACATTGAATCCTTAATATTGTAAGATTATACCGCTTTGAGTTTCATCACAATGTCGAATTATATTTGTATTGCCAAATTGTGTAATATGTATTAGTGACTGCCCAACTTTTTATTAGAAAATTGTATACCATACATGGCAAGAGTTAGTCCGGGCCCCCTAAAATTCTGGTTCCACCCTTGGTCAGTTGGTCCCTTGTCAAGAGAATATGATGAGCACCTGCGTAGTTTGTTTTTCAATTCATCTACTGCACTGCAAAGTTAAAAAACATCAGCTTACTAAGCTTCTAATGTGAATTTTGACTTGATGTGGTTTTTTTTTTTTTTTCTTTAAATAATGTAGTCTAGTAAAGTAAATTGTTATCCTTGATTATCACTGTTTTACTACTACGTGGATTAAATTCATAAATTTAATGGTATAGGGATTAAAATGATAATTTTGATTAGCATAGCCGCATAGGGATTAATTGCATACTTAAACCAATATGGAAAAACCACTATTTGTCT